CCAAAATAGGCTCAAAAAGACTCTTCGACTGGGTTTACAGCCTGGCTTGTGCCTTCAAAAGTCAAATTTTAGTCTCCCCAATGAAAAAGTTTACATTCCGAACAAATTATGACTGTGGGATCCATTTGGAAAATGGCAAGATTTTCACCAGAACCTCCTCTTAAGGGACTATACTGAAAATAGGTTTTTCCAGGATTATCATTCCAGAAATTTTCTTTTGCTTTACATTGATAGGATACTACTCAAAATAATTTCAGCCGAAGTATGAAAATTTTCGGCCAAATGGTTTAGGAGATATTCACAGGTAAAGTAAAAACATACACTGTAAAAATTTATGTCCGGAATAAACGACGGATCCTTCGGCAAAAAAATTGCCAACGGTTCCTTCGTTAATTTACGAAGCTCTTCGTATATTTACAACAAGTTAGAGAAGCAATTTATCAATTTTGCTAAGTGGTACTCGTTCTTTGCCTTCAGGTGACACAAATGTAATCTCAGTATTTCAGTCAATATAAGGCGTAAACCATTTAACTGATGTCTTCTGAATAGTTCAAGGTTTTGGTAACAACATTACTTCAGAGAAAAATAATGCTTGTATAGTACAATCTATGGGCATTGAACTTGGGTTTAGAGATCGGGGGAGCAGGGCTGTATCCATTGGTCTACATCACGTTACATGGCTGGGGTGTGCTAACAATGCCCCTAGAGGAACGGGGCTTCCCTGAGACCTAGCGGCGAGAGGGCGCATGCGCCGGCACCGTTGTTGAGGTTAAAATCGTGGGACTTAGAACATTTTGGCTGGCAACAGCACAACATCTAGTAATCTCAAAAAATCATGTAATAAACGGGTAAAATTCATAAGAGGAGAATTTTAGGACTCATTGTTGGCTTTCTAATGAGTCACAACACTTGGTCCTAAATGTTTAACTTTGCAAAATATCCTATTCCATCATTCAGTCCAGAACTTGCACTTCTCTCCTATTGATTTTAAGGTAAAAAGTGCTTCATGGTAACAGAAAAAAGCTTCTAACATTAGTTTCTCACCAAAACCATACCTATTCAAAAAATATTACATTACAATTGTGTGTTAAGTATTTACTGAGTTAAACATGTGTCACCAAGTTGTGTCTTACCAAACACAATACTCGTCTTTACCTTTGTATGGATATAGAAAGTAGGTAAAGAACGAGTAAAAACCTTCGTAATTTTTTTGAACGATCTCTTTCGATTTTACAATCACAATGGAAATTTACGAAGCACCTTCGTAAATCGATACCTCCTTATAACAAACACGTAGTTTGATTACCGGTTTCAACACTCACATAGTTTGTGCACCGAGACCAACAAACACGTAGTTTCGCGGCCGTTCGGGAGTCGCGAGTAAACACTCACGTAGTTCGGTTCAACAATCACGCAGTTCCATTTTCTACAGTATTATTGCTGTATAAGTCGTTTGATCACTATTAGGTGGTAAAAAAACAGTCATTGTGACCGAATTTAAGCTTGGAAACGTGTTCTGAGGCAGTTTTCAGTAAAAATACAGTCAAAATACAATGTGGCGAACAGCTTCTCAAAGTACTTTCAGAGTGCCCCTACCGACAATACTCTCCACTTTTAGGTTGAAAAAGACTCAAAGCACAAATAATTTAGTTTGTACACCCTCAATGGATGCCCAATGTCCATTTTCAGTCTAAAATAAAACACTCGAACAAACTACGTGTTTGCTAGCCCGCAGCGGAAAACTACGTGCTTGTTCCGTCTTCTAGCAAAACTACGTGTTTGTTGACCTCGATGCTCAAAGTACGTGAGTATTGAAACCGGTGATCAAACTACGTGTTTGTTATTAGGAGGTAATTAAAAGGTCACAAAGTGACCGCAATTCTGGTTCCAGAAGGTTTTATACTCATAAATTCCTAAGACTATTTTAACTGAAGGTCATGCCAGAGGAGATTTATCATCAAGGCACTGAAAAGAGAAGAGTTTTTTGCAATTGGTCTTGCACTCAAATTATTTTCCTTTGAAATTTCTTATTAAATTATGTTTCTCTTATATGGTTTTATTTTACTCAATCTTATGTAACTATCTGAGTCTCATATAACAAATTTAAATATATTAAGTCTGTTTTATTAAAGTTTGATAAAAATTCTTATTTGGCTCATAGGACACTACTAAACTTATAACGTCCTTATTTGATCCAGAAAGAACCATTCTTATCAAATGTGATGCTTAATACGGTCCAGGTAAAAAATAAAGTCAAATAAAGCATATATCTGCAGCCCACTTCAGCTTCAAGTTAGAGGAAAGAACGTCAGGAAAGGGGGTGAAAGGGGAGAAGCGATCTTTAAATTGAAACGCCTCCCACCCGCTCATCGCCCGTCCCTTCGGTACAAAACAAGGACAAATGAAAGCGGTGGAGCAGCCGTGGAATTTCTTGTTGTCACACACTTTCAACAGCACTGCACTACCGCGTGTTCGCGACACTTAAGAAACGCACTGCACGCGCAAGGGACGCCACAAAACTTTGTACTGAACCACTGCACTGGAGCCAAACTCGCGGAATCAGGCCTCGCCTGGCTTCAAAACTGGTCGCTTTTTGGACATGTTCAAAAAATCTAAATTACTGTTTTAATCCACAACCACGGCTTGATTGAGAACATCACTCAGAATAATAGTTAAAGCGCGTTTTATTTCCTTTAATTTGATATGTGAATTTGGTCTGTAGGCTAATTTGAGCCGGAACTACGCCCGCCGGAATTCACACCTGACGTCTGCACTCGGCTGGCGCTCTAGTGGTAGAACAATGAAAAATGGGGCCGACAGCTGATATTAAAGCTCGCGGCGACGTGCAACTTGGAGGGTTTATAGATATTGTTATGGCAAACAATGTGAGCCCTATTTCGAGTTCATTGAATCAAAGGTTTGTTCTACATATATCGGCCTTTTTTCCAATATTCTATAACTGCAGCGGCAGATGACTACCGTCAGGGTCGACTTCCGGTGGGCGTAGCTCGGCCCCAAATTTAGCTACAGACCTCGCATGCATTTCAGATTGTAGAAAGTAAAACACGCTTTAATGCTTATAAGCAGTATTTTTCTCATTTACCCGCTAGTTTCGGTTTAAAACGGTTATTAAAATTTTTTAAACATGTCCAAAACTCAAAATTTTACAGTTTTTGGCTTTTGTGTCCAAACGAAAGCATCAAACTAGGGATGAAAATGCCCGGAAAGTTTTCAGAAACATTGGAAAAAAACTGTTTTTTTCCGTTTTTTTCCCTGGCCTCGGAAAAATTGGAAAGATTCAGCCTGAAAAGTAGGCAAATAGTCGGGCATTTCGCCTGAAAATAAGGCTAAAAGCATGCCGTTATCCCCACGTGAACACGATTCTCAGTGCACTCATACTACTTATACCCTGTTATGATTCCTTCTCGTGCGTTTTTTTTAACTTGCTGTTGTGAATCTCGGGTTGTCAGTATAAGTAAAGTTGTAACAAAGCACAAAAGTAGTAGGTTTTATGTTCGTGGTGCTTAAAAACGAATTTTTACTTCTTTTCCAATTTTTCCAAATTTTCCTGGTTTTTTTTTTTTCAACTTTTCCGTTTTTTTTCCGACCCTTTGAAAGTTTCCGGAAAATTTGCATCTCTACATCAAACGTAGCAACACTATATATATTTGGAATCAGCATTTCATTTCGCGTGTAATGACGCCAATCTCAGCCTTCTGCGACGAAAAAGGTAAAAAATTTGAACTTTAAACGCCGATTTTGAACGAATCCCACGTTGAAAAAACTTGAAATATGGCTCATTTTGTTCGTCTTGTCAAGCTTTATCAGCCCACCAAGTTTCATGGTGTCGCGAATTGTTTGTAGCTCTTATATTTGTCACACAGTCCTCAAAGGGCGGAAGTTCTTTCTAGGACTTCCGTTTGGGGCTTATGTGTCCAAACAGCACCTTATCTATCAAACCACTACATATTCGGAATCTGCATTTCATTTGGCTTCCAATGATGCCAATTTTATTGTTCTATGACAGTTTCAACGCCGACAGCAATTTTTTGAACAAAGGTCCAAAATTTGAACTTTGAACACCGATTTTGAACGCATTCGTGGTTGAAGAAACTCGAAATGTGGCTTATTTTGTTTGGCATAGTTAGTATTGTAAGCCATCCAAGTTTCACGTCGTCGCGAGCTTTAATATCAGCCGTCGGCTCTATTTTCCATTATTCTTCTAGTAGATCGCACTGCAAAAAAAATTTCTGAAGTTTAAGACATGAAAATGTCTTAAATTTAATAACATTTTGAAATGATGTGAAAACTCAGAAAAGTATGTGAAAAGTGCTATACTTTATTACATTTACCAAAACTAAAATAAAAAGTAATAAATAGTTGGTAAATTTCAAAACCACTTTTAAAACTTGGGAACTGGGTTGTCAAAATTAAGATTGCCTGCCAAAAGTAAAAATTGGTTTCTTAAAATCCACATAACTGATGACTTTTCAGAACAAGACTTCTGAAACTAACTGATTGAAGTTAAAGTTGAACGCTTAAGTGATAGCTGTCACATTCAACGTAAACCGAAGGTGTAGTTTGATTACTTCACGCAAACTGTCGACAAGCCACTTCTCACACGGTAAGGCCCACAGTCAGCCGCTGGGTTCAAGGTCAGGTTTCACAGACCTGCCGCTAGGTGGCGCTTGGAGCGCCGTGTCCGTTCCCGAATAAGTATTTCCTATTTGTATTCCTAAAAGAACTTCTTTTGGCAAATGATACCATCTGTTGCCTTAGTAAATGTCTTCTCTAGCCGCTTTCTCAAATTTTTTAACAAAATATTCCACTGAAGTTCAGAAAAACGTATAACCATGCTGCCACTCGCTGGCGTCAGCGGGTAGAAACTCCGTAGGGGCGGCTAGGACCAAGTCTCGAGCGGCTCGCCACGGCCCGGCCGCGGCCCGGTCGCGACCAGCAGAAGACACGACCGGGACGCACTGATACACATTTCAGCCTGCCTGCCTATTTTACGAACCTATTTCGAAAATCCGGGAATGCTAAGCCACAATTTAAAGTCCAAGGAATCCTCCTCAATCGTTATTTTTTCTATAAAAGAAGTTCTTGTGGGAAAATAACTCATTGAAACTTTTCCGGGGGACGGGAGAGGACCGACCCGTCACCACAAAACTGAACAAAACCCGTATTTAGAGACATCCCACTGCCCTACATGAAGCGTAGCGAAGTTTCGTTACACTTTTTTCTACTCAGTGCAATTGGTCAGCACTCACAAAGACTTACCCACAAGGAAATATCCACATTTGAACGACGAGCGTCCAGAATGGCGTCCAATAACCTTCGCACTTCCAAACCATTTTGATGATACAAATCACACTTATTTCTTGAAAAGATGCCTCCTACGCCACACTAAATTTCTTGCAGAATCTGATTCAAGTCGCGGATGCATAAATGGAGCCACAGATTATTGGATCGGACTCGATTAAGATGACGGTGAAGAGCAAAGCCATTCGAAGTGTTGTTTTGGATCGCTGTCTGCTAGACCGGATGTTGTCGCGAGGATGGCAAATTCATAGTGCGGTTTGGATTTGTTTACATTTTCTCGTAGCAGACGTATGTGTGTGTGTGTGTGCGGTGTTCGCTGTGTTGTGCTCTGTGCTCTGTAATTCCTATTTTGCTATTTGATCAAGAGTTCTCTCCAGTGTACGTATTAATGGAGGAAAACATTGGAAATGGCTTGTTTTAACAATATATAACATCACCAGCCTTTGTTTCCAGGCTCCAAAATGAGTCAAGATCTATTTGCCGATGAAGAGGACAATGTATATTTATTTGATACCACCGAGGATGCTGTCGAATTTAGTGGAATAAGTGGAAGTGGTACTTCGTCGTCGCCAGGTAGCCAGCAGTTACTTCAAACACCTGCTCCTACTCCAGCACCTGCTCCAGAACCAGCCTCCTCCTCAAAACGTCAGGTACTATTTTCTTTTGTGTGTATTGTTTCTATATTTGATTGATTTTTTACTTATGCCTGAATCCCTTCGAATTCTGTAGGAGTATCCCTGCACTGTTTGTAAGAAGGTGCTCAAAACCCTCAAAGGTTTCGAGGGGCACATTGCTCGTCATGCTCAGACCACTGGACCAGAGACCAGTACAACACGAGCATCGACAGTCAAAGCAGTTCCACCATCTAGTAAGGCACAGGTAAATCTCCATTAGAACTGCAGGAATCTAATAATTCCCATTTCCTAATCAGTTTTATTGTTTAGTCTTTCATAGTTTTCTTTTATTTTATTTGGATTGAATCCTTTCAGGCGGAAAAGCTTTATAATTGTACCGAGTGCAAGTCAAAATTAAAAACCAAAAGTGGGTTTGTGAGGCATCGTGCTGCCCATAAAATGAAAAGTGAGTGTTCATGAGTCTGCCTTTTAAATGAAAGATTCGGTTTAATTTATCTCATTTATTGTTTTATTGTTTACAGATGCTTTGCAACTTAGGCCAGCCCCTTCTGAATTTCTTTTGAGCTACCTTCCCGATATTATCAAGAAAATAATTTTGGATATTAAGGCTGAGCCAAGTGGTGGAAGCTCAAAAGCCTTGTTTCTGTCTCAGTTAATAGAAATGTCTGAAGATGACAAGTGGCTGAACTTTGTACAGGATTTAGGAAACTTCATCTCTGGAATTGTGTTAGAAAAGCAGGCCAAAGTTTTACCTGCTAACCAGTACGAGGAAATGCAGAAGAAACTGAATTCCTATTTAAATGATAATATCGAGAACCTTGGGAACAAATTGAAGCAATTATGTCCAGTGGAAATTGATTGCTCCTTGGCTCAGCGCTTAGTGTTTCGAATTGCAACCAAACTGCTACAAGAAACACAGATATGGGCCATGCAAAAAATGAGACCCACTTTTACCGAAGAAGATTTAGTACTACAGCAAGAAATGAGTGAGTCTGAAGAGAAAAGCTTCTTGGGAGAAATAGGTGGCTTGCTAAGAAGTTTTTTTATGAAATCACTTCAGCAGTCCAACCAACAGAGTCAAATGCAGAGCCAATGCATAAAAGAAACATTTGTTGATGGTCCTCATCCCATCAGTAGGTCTCAATTTCTCATAAAAACTAACTGGTTTTCTGGAGAAGATGAGTGCATTACAGTAAGTTACCATGCTGCCCACTTTTTAAAAAAAATTGAACTTGAAATAATACCAGCATCTGTGAATCCATGTAGCTCTGAGGAGGTAGTTGAAAATGTATTAGCTTTCCAAGAATTGTTGGACCACTGGTACCATTTGACAAAAGCCTACTTCTCAGAAGAAAATTCCCTTTTATTTCTGAGGAAGATAATAGCTTCATATGTCAAGTTGTCCGTTGTTTTTGAAGAGAAGAGAGGCAACAGATTGGAAGAAAAATCGGTGAGAGCATCCACAGCCCCACTCCGCACTCATCTTCAACACAATTTGTTGGAAAGGGAAGAAGAGGATGAAGATTTAATTTAGAAGATTGTTAATTCAATTAAAGAGCCAATACTGAGATATTTAATAAGCACATAAACATAATATTTGACATAGAAATAATTCCATTTCTCTTTCTTAACTGACATGTTCAATCCTTTGACACAAATTGTATTATTATTTTAACATCTTGTAATAAAATGACTAAAAATTCTGACAAAATATTGTGTTATTTATATACAATTTCTAAAGCACACACAACTAAGAAAGGATCAGGGGGCATACACTTTCATTCCTCATTCATTTGATCTTCTTGGTGCTTTTCTTGATTGTAAGGGAGTAGAATCCACTTCAAAATCTTTTCTCTTCGATACTGATGTATTTCCTTTCCGAGATGCCAGAGAAAGAGACCCTTGGGCATGTATGTTCATGCGATCATCATGAACATTTTTGAGAGTGGGGTTTCTATTGTCACCATGCTTTCTTCGTATTTTACCGAAGTACTGTTCCAATGGATCTTGATTAAAGACCCTTGCGCAGACAGATGGAGCTCCAACTACATCCAGCATGTACCGTATTGCGCCTGTGATTCCCTTCACAGTCACTTGCATGGCCCCCAAAGCTTGATGGCTTATAATCATACGGCTTCTTTCATCATTAGTAAAAATCCCTGGTCTGTTGATAACTTCAGTCTTCCACTCTTCAAAGTAATTCAGAAATTCATCTTCTAAGAAATTAAGCCTTTCATCACTTGAGGATGTGAATGGAAATTTATCTGGATTATTCCCTTCATTGGTCTCATCTCTTCCGTTCACACAATCAAACAAGCTAGGGCCCGCCCTTCCGTCGAACCGAGTTGCCAGCTCAAGCGCGGATCCAGGGGGGGGGGCAAAAGGACAATTGCCCCCCCCTTGGGCTCAGCCGCACTTGAAAAAAAATGAGGAAAGGGAGGAAAGGAGGGAAAGAGAAAGAGGGAGAGAAGGAAAAAGGGGAGAAAGGTAAGAAGAAGGAAGTGAAAAAAAGCAAATTGTTATGGTTCAAGTTCAGGCTGTGGTCCGCCTACGCCTCATCTATCATCGGCAAAAATATAAAAAAGGACGCATTGAATTGAATGACATGGCCATGGTCGCGGCCGCGACCCGGGCGTCGGATGCTGCACTCGGAACCGAAAGCATATGCAAAAGGCTCAGCCCAAGGCCCAAGCTGACATCACTGACTGCCGGGGCTGCCGACCGACCGGACCATCCGCATTCGCCAAGAAGCTCAGCCGGGGCCGTCAGCCAGCCAGCGCGTCGTCCGTCGAGCCCAGTGACAAGCTCAGCTGAGCTGACTCTGACTGCGCCGTGGCGCGCCGCAGGACACGGCCACGCCACGGCGTATTGTTGCGCGCCGCGCGCCGGCCAGTTCTGCCCTGCCCTGTCGAAGCCCGTGCTCCCGCCTGCCGCGTCGCCGCGAGCCAGCCAGCGCCCCTCCCCCCTCCCCGCCCCGTCACCCGCCTGCCTTCCACTAACGGCGTGCGTGGCTTGCAAGTGCCACAGTTTAGCCCTGTTTACCCGAACTCCACTCAGCCTATTCTTCGGCGCGTCGTGCATCATCGAGACGACACGCCATGGGCATTGATTTAGCCCAATGGCGAACTGCCATAGGCAGGTTCCGCCGAGCGCGAGGATCATTAGCCTGTGGCTGCGGTGGCGAGGCTGCTGCAACAAGCTTCTCGTACCCGTATCGAGCACCTGGTACAGTAGACCCGCCAGACGTCCAAAAGGCTTTAAACAAAGTAAGTTTTCAGTTTTCACACTGTTTAAACATCAAAGCACGTCACATAATGTGTCGTTTTGTCCTCATATCACTAACGGTTCTTTTCCTTGGTTTCCTGTAGCACTACCATTTTTTCTACCTGGCGGCTGTTATTCTTCCCATTGATGCATCTGAAAGGAAGCAGTTTTTCAACTCACTGGTCGTGCGACTCCTCCTACTTGCGGCAGGCGTCGAAGCCAACCCAGGGCCCAGCAGCACCTCAAACTCAAAGGTAATTTAGATTAAGCTTGAAGCGGGAGCGGGAAAGAGAAAATAAATGCAAGGATTTGATGAGGATAATAATTTATTTGATTTGTACTTTTACAGTCAAACCAACATCAGGCGAAGCGCTTGAAGACAATTGACACCTTCTTCAAAGTGAAATCTGCTGCTGACCTGGGAGTCGCTGCCACTTCTCCGCGGCAACCCGTTGAAGTCGTAGCGCCGGTGGAGACCAACATTGGCAGTGCGAGTGCGTCTTTCCCGACTGAGGCGTCTACGTCGTGCAGGACTCCAGTTGAACCCGAACCTGTAAGCAGAACCAACACCGACAATGTCAACTCTTCTTTCGTGGAAGACATGGACACGGATAATACATCAGCGTCTGTCGTGCCTTCTCCTTCTCCCTCCAAGTCTCACAATAATGTAACCAATGATATAGGAAATTTCATTGGACAAAGGATTTCTGACTTTCAAAAGCGAGAGCTTCTTCTTAATCCTTGGCAGCCGCCTGCTGATTATGATTTTCCATATTCTAGTTACATGTGCAAGGGAAAGGAGTACAAACGTTATTTAAATCAGAACCACCTTAATACATACAAATCTTGGTTGGTCTTGTCTCACTCTGCTCGAGGCCTGTACTGTAAATATTGCCCGTGGTTTGCTGTTGGTGCCGTAGGCGGGCAGCACAAGACTGTTCCGTTGACAAAACTTGTGACTGCACCATTGGTTGTTTTTAAGGACCTGTTAGGAAGTAAGGACAATAGTGTATTAGCTCATCACGAACATCATCAGTACCATAAGATGGCTGTGGAAAAGGCCAAAAATTTTCTAGATACTTACCATAAGCCTTCAAGTGATGTCATCAATCAGGTGAACCAACAGCGACTTGATCAGATTCAAGATAATAGGGAACGGCTTGTACCCATTGTTAGATGTACGCTTTTTCTGGGAAGGCAGGGCCTGGCATTCAGGGGGCATCGTGATGATGGGCAGCTTCTTGTCACTGAATCAGAAAAAAACAATAATGAATCTGTAACAGGTAATGAGGGTAATTTTAGAGAGACTTTGAAGTTAATGGTTGCATCTGGCGACTCAAAGCTTAAAGACCATCTAAAAAATACATCTTCTAGATCAACTTATATAAGTAAGACAATTCAAAACGAATTAATTGAATGCATAGGTACTGAAATTGTAGACAAAATATTAGTAAGATTGCACAAATCATTGTTCTACTCAATTCTGTTTGATGAGACCACTGACCAATCTCACAAATCTCAGCTAAGCCTAGTGTTAAGGTATGTAACTACTGATGGCGTTTATGAAGATTTTGTTTCTTTCGTGGATGCATTTGCAGATCTTGATAATTCTAAACAGGATGGTACTTACGATTCTGATGAAGATGAATGGGATGAAGTACGAAGAGCTGCAAGAAGGGATGAACAAGACACAGAACTTAAGCTGACAGGGAAGGCAATAGCACAAATTGTTTTAAGACTCCTGAGCCGATTAGGGCTGCCCCTGCAAAAATGTGTTGGGATTGGAACTGATGGGTGCTCAGTCATGACTTCCGAGGTTTGCGGTGCTGTAGCTGAAATACAAAAACAGGCCAAAAACGCCCTTCGCACACCCTGTTTTAACCATAAGCTTAACCTATCTATTTCTCAATCCAACAAAATAACTTGCATACGGAACGCTGTGGGTACAATGAAAGAGTGTGTAAGTTTTTTTGATGCTTCTGCGAAGCGCAACCGTACCCTCAATAAATATCTTGGCCATAACCTCTCTGGCTTATGTGAAACCAGGTGGATAGAGCGCCACGACGGAGTTTTGCAGTTTTCTGTAGATTTGCCAAAGATTTTACAAGGACTTGAGTCTATTGAAACATGGAATGATTCATCTACGTCTTCCAAAGCAGCAGGTCTTCGAGCTGCTCTTAAAGACAGCTTCTTTTTGGTTTCTGTCATGTGTTTAAGTGACGTCCTGGCACTTACACTGCCTCTCAGCAAACTGTTTCAGAAGCCATCCCTGAATTTAGACGCAGCGTCTAGTACAATTTCCAATCTTATAGACGTTCTTTCCAAGCGCCGTGAAAACGCAGAAGAACACTTTAAAGAAATTTGGAAAAAAATTGTAGAAATGGCAGAGGAAGTAGATACTCACCTTGTTCTCCCTAGAAGATGTGGACGTCAAGGGAACCGGGCCAATTATTCCACAGACTGCCCAGAGACGTACTTTCGGCAAGCTGTGTTCATTCCTTTGCTAGACCAAATCTTGATTGACATCAAAGAAAGATTTCCGTCAGCTGTTCTGGACTGCTTTCAGCTGCCACTTCTTCTTCCGAACAATGTCATTGGGTTATCAGCTACTGACCTGAAACAGAAAGCAGAATTATTAGCAAGCAAGTTTGATGGATTGTTGCCAAATGATGTAGAGATGTCTGAAAAACTACTGCTCGGAGAACTTACCATGTGGAGAGAAAAGTGGGTTGCCCAAAGTCTTCTCGAATTTCCTGAGTCCTCTGGAGAAGTCCTTAAAAACTGTGACTATGATGTATTCCCCCTCATCCATACTTTAATTGCTGCCCTGACAACACTACCGGTGAGCAACGCTGCCGCCGAGCGTTCCTTCTCGGCTTTACGACGCCTGAAGTCGTGGCTTCGGTCTACAATGTCTCAAGACAGACTTACAGGCCTAGCCCTCATGCATGTCCATCGAGACATTCCCATTGATATTGACAGTATTATAACGCGGTTTGCCAAATCCGGCAATCGTCGTTTAGACTTGATTCTCTAAATAATAAGTTTCCCCATGTATTTTAAATTTTCCTCATGTATTTTCAATATCTAGTCGGTTTATGTTTGTTTAGGTTAACAATATATTTTCTTTTTCATGTATGACTGATTATTGATTTCATCTGTAACGTTGATGCTTTGTACGTCCGAAAATTCAAATTACTTAATAAACAAATTTTTCAAGTACTTTAAGATCTGCTGTATAAAAAAATTTCACCAACTTCCCCTGCAAAGTAGGCAACCCGCTACATTTGCCCCCCCCTCAGGCTCAGGCTGGATCCGCCACTGAAAGAAAGTGCTGGTGTTTATGGCCCAAGGCATAACAAGTGAAGTCAAAGATGTGGTGGCTATTTTTTCAACGGATGACCTTTCTGCCAGCCAGCTCTTCGATAGAACCTGGGAAGTAATTTACCATCTAGAGGAATCCGACATCAAAGTTTTGACGCTTACATTTGATGGTGCATCTGTTAATCGGAAATTCATTCTAATGCATGAACGCCTTGACAAATTGTGGAATCAATGCTATGCCACCAAGAATTTAGCTGGAGGGTCAAGGCCACTATTTTTCATCTTGGACCCACCACACTTATTGAAAGCTATAAGGAATGCCCTGGCAAATTCATTTGCACACAAGAAGACCAGAAAATTATGGAAGAATAACCAGTACTTATCCTGGAAGGTAATAGAGGCATTATTTGAAGCAACCAAAGATCAAAAATTCAGAGGACATAAACTTACTAAAGCACATGTAAAATTAACCAGTTTTAGTTGCATGACTGTCTTGCTGGCCACTCAGGTTCTCAGCAACTCAACAGGAAATTGCATTGAGGATCTGTCAAGCCATGAGTTATTACAATCATTTGACACATCTGAACTTGTTCTATTCATTAGAAAAATGAATAGGTTTTTTGGCCCGCCCTTCTATTCAAAAAATAGGGGGAGGGCCTATGCATTTGCCTTTGTGTCTGTGTGTTGTTGTTGTTGTTGTTGTTGTTGTTGTTG